TCATGCCGTGAACATGAACGCTGTGGCCGTCTTCATGCCTACCTATGACACAAAAAGTTTTTTTTTTCAAAGTCACTTCCTTGAATGGAGGTAGGATAAATAGAGAGAAGCCTCAAAACGGTAATTAAAAAAACTTATCTCAGAATCTAAGACGTTAATTTTTTTAACATCTTACGGAAGTTTGATGCATGAGAATTACTTGACTTGGAATTGTGATCCGAGCCGGCATGCGTGAATAGTGTGATCAACATTTTTTTTAATCATCAATCCAACAAATATATTACATCAACAAAACATTCGTCACATGGCTGTTTTTTTTACTGTAGGGGCTGGGGGCTGGAGTAATCAGGGCTGAAACTCACTCTGAGTTTCGAAGCCTTATGTGCCTAGTAAGTTTCGAACTTGAGACCTCTCACTAGACAGTAGACACGGTCCTCACAACCAGCTGGGCTGGAATACTTTGTAACGTCACATGGCTGACAATACAATCAAAGAAAAAACAGGAAACAAAATGATAAATTAAAGAGCCTTTTGTCTGTCGTTCGCCCTCGAACCAAACTTAGAATTTATCACCTCTATAGACAGGGGCGGAACCAGAAAAATGTGAGGGGGGTCGGATTTAATTATATACAATATCAAGATGATGTATATTTGTTTAGTATCAAAATGTTTTATATGTAGCTGAGATAAATGGTAGTTTAATGATCATTTTTCGGTTAATGTATTGATATATATGTAATGTATCATAATGTTCACACGTACAACTAATGAATGAATAGGGTGTTTTATTTTTAACTTTAAGAATATAATCAACCTCACACATCGAATTTTGCTTATGTCAAGTAAGATGGTGCTGATTTTTCCTGAAGTCATAACTTTTTACTCGTAATGAGTTACGAGACCCATAATATATCAAATCGAAGGTATTTCAGAGCTCTACATTCTTGAACTTTCAGCGGGGTCAGCTGACCACCCTGACCCCCCCTTGACTCCGCCCCTGTCTGTAGAAGCAATAACATTCGATGATCATGTAATGGGCTTAACTGAACCAAAGACATATTAATATTACTCGTATTATTATTATTATTATTATTATTATTACATTATCTGTATAATTAAAACCTTTTCTGATATGTTGAATTGGTTCAATTAAAACTGTTTCGTGATTTCATTAAACTGAAAAGATTGATTGAATAATTATGAAAATTGGATAATGAACTCTTAATTTGATAATGCATGCATAATTATAAAGAGATATAAGTGCCATTTAATTTAAAATTAAATGGATTATACAAAAAAGTAATGATTGGCCTAAGTTTTGTCTACTTAATGTATAAATCGAAATATAAAGGATTTATTCCCGAGCTATCTGCACATTTAAATGTTCGTGTCTCATATTTATTTTAAATTATTATTTCGTTCCAGGTTTTCATGACTTGAAATGGATATATCGTTTACACAATTAATTTATCCATATTAACTTTTTTAGAACTCGCATAAATTAGAGAAAAAGGTCAAATAAGGCCTTCTACTATTATGAAATCGTCACATAAGGTCATGTACTCAATTAAGTGTCATATAAATGTGTCTACTTGTAAAAAAAACAATCAAATAAGTCCTAACGACCTGTTTACAACCTCCTTATCCCGATTTTAGTGTTCTTGAAAACCATCTTTTTATAATAGATTATACGGCACACGTCGAATATTTACCTAAGATTGGTTGAAATACAAGTCAAATAAATTGACACGTTAGCTAAAATCGGGATTAAGAGGTTGTCAACGGGTCATTAGGACTCATCCGATTGTTTTTTATAAGTGGACGTATTTATATGACACTTTATTGAGTACATGGTCTTATGTGACGATTTCATAATAGTAGAAACCTTATTTGACTCTTTTCTCTATAAATTATTCTTATGGCTAAGAAGTTATAAACAAATAAAATACATACGAGTGTATGATTCATTTTTAAATAATGTTTAATTTTATTTATTTTTCAAAAGCCCATTAATTTGAAGGGACGGCATATACAAAACACACGGGAGGCAGTTTGGCAGCTAGTCAAAATTCTAAGCCCCACGTTTAAGGCATCTCGTCCAGTGGGTTATTTGAAGTTTAATGGAATTGGATGATGTTTAAGATTATTTTAATATGAGTGAGTGATTGATGTTATTGAAAAGAAAATTCGGTATCATGATTTGAATTCCGGATTATTTAATACTCCGTATTATAGTTAAATTACATTTAATACATGTCCTAGAAAAACTATTTATTTGAATATCATCATTGATAAAGAGTTTTAATGTTTGAGATTATTTAAAAGTTATTGGATAAAGGGATTTTTACAAAAATATTACTAAAATAAAACTTAATTACATAAATATGACTATTAGTTGCTACAATGTAGTGTCATAGTAACTTAATTAAGTTTAAGAATTGAATATAAGTTACTATGATTTCATTACTACTTTAGTCATTAATCATATTTTTGTAAATCATCTTCATTTTAATCATATTCATGTAATTATTTCTTTCTGAATAAGCGTAATGTGAAACTTATGTGAAATAGAAAAACCGTTTATTTAAAAAGCGAAGATGCTCTAAATGACCGTTTCATTTGGGGAAAAAAGTAACTCAGAATAACTATTACGTTTGTTCAGTTCAGTACCCAAGTAACTGCTAAATTAAACGGTTCAATTCACACTCAAAATATAATTCACCCACGACATCGCCGTTAGGTTGCAACTAAAAGTTCAGCTAACTTCATGAATTAGAGCATCACCAACGGTGCTATTTTGACGTAAAAATTTGGTGCCACATCATCAATTTACAAAGTCTAATCATTTTTTAACCTCCAACCCACCCTTTTACGGTTCCTTTTAATCTGACCTGTATCCAACACTTTCAACCCCTCTTTTGGTTTTCTGAAAGCTTGTTTGACGCTGTGAAAACAATTTACGAACAATTCGGAGGAAAAAAAGCGCTCCATCCTTGAAAAAAGCGCTCCATCTCTGAAAAAAGTGGCGGCAATTTTTTCCACCCAAACCTAGTCCTATGTAATCTCACTTTTCGCACACAAACTCAACTCGCCGCCTCGCCCACAAACTGAAGTCTTCTTCTATCGGTGTCAACTTCCCCCAGGTATTCTTATCCATGTCTACCGGTGAAAGGTATTTAATTTATGATTTCATAGGTTCTTGATTGCAGAAGTATATAATCCGATGCTTGACTGCTTCCTAAAGTGTCTATATAGATGAGAAACTCTGAATTTTGGGAGGAAAATATCATTCTTCTGCAATTTTGAAACAAGAACACATGTAAATACTTTACTTTTGATTGGGAGAACCACGTTTCTTACTCTGGTCGATTGTTGGTGAATTAGGTTTGGCTGTGAATACCATTATTTTTTGGGATTTAAAAATGATTGAAATGACCAATATGTAATTACTTTCAGTGTGATGATCGTCACAAGTGTGTAATTTCGTATATCAGCTTTCCTTGCTCTTAAAATCGAAGAAACAAACTGCAGATGGTACGTGAAGAGATTCATGGCATCGTTATATTAGTTTTTTGACTGTATCAGTTACTAGGAGTGTTGATACCATTTCATTCATTCTATTTTTTCAATGTATGACATACACTGTGTGTAGTTATACACAGTTTATAATTGCTATGTTTTTTAACATGCTAATCCATTGATGGTTGGGCGTATGATTGTAAATTATAAATTGATCTGTCTTTGTCTTAGTATTTCTCTATAAGTTTCGGATTTTTCAAACATGCAGTTAGTGGACATGCTTTTCAAAGTATACTATACTTGTTCAACTTTGATTTTCAAAATAATATTTCTTTGGTTAAATATTTTTGTCACTTGAAATCTATTGAAAGGTATCTCCTATTTATATGGATAATTTTGGACCGCCATACATGATTCTTGTCACTTTAGAAAGTGTTTGATTAACACAAGTGTCCAATGACGAGGACATAGTTTTGCTACGTCAATATTCTTCCAAGTTCTTTGAGTGGATTAGTCACCAAGCATTATTTAAATGGAAGTATTATATACAATCAATTAAACACATCTATCTTCAATATTGGTACAGAGAAAATAGAGAAATACTTCTTCAAGCTTGAATGCATGAGTGTTTTTTCTTTTTACTACTGTTACAAGTTATTTTTGTTTTGTATTGTGGTTACGTAGGAGCATTATGTATTCAGTACACACCATTATTAGGCTCTGTTATTGTCTTTGTTTTGGAGAAATCTAAATATGCTAAACGGTGAACCTTTTAAAAAAAATGAACTAAAATCAGCTCTATATCCAACTGAAAAGTGTAATCTACTAGTCATACTTTACTGTATTTGAATAATGTGCTATTATTTGGATTCCACTCTATGATTTATTACTTTAGAATGAACTAGTTATATTGCACTATATTTTAATCTATTTTAATGATGTGCTATTATTTGGATTCCATCAACTGTGACGGATGTAAAAGTATCATAATAATCTCTTGCTCCATATTACTTTGTTTAATTGTTATGGTACTCACGGCTACATTTATTTATCAAAGCAGGATAAATGGATTCACAAGACTTGGCTGAGTTTACAAATACTTCACAGCCTGCTAGTTACCGCATGCCCTCAATGAACATGAACCAATTTAATCCTCCACCCAATTACACCATGTCAATGCAGGGTGTGAACCAACTCAACCCACCTTCTGCCTACTCTATCTCACCTCAGAATATGAACCAATTTACGCCACCCATCTATCATGTTGATCCTAAAAGTGGAACCTTTCCTTTCCATATTGAGCAGCATAACTCACAACAATTCTCCTACCAAGAACTGCTCAATACACCCATGGTGACTCCTCAAAGTTGTGAGCCCATCAAGGCATCAAAAAAGAGAGCTAAAAATGCTCAAAACTCTAATACTTCTCAACCTGCTTCTCCCCCGCCTTCCATTATTAAGAAAGATTGGTCTATTGAAGAGGAGGTTGCACTGACAGAGGCCTGGCTTCATATATCTGTGGATGCTGATGTAGGAAATAATCAGAAAAGTGCTGCCATGTGGAATCGCGTCCTAGAAGTTTGGAAAGAGAAAATGGGGCCAACTCACAAGATATCAAGAAACAACAACAGCCTGCAATGTCATTGGCACCTAATACGAACTTGTGTAAGTAAATTTGTTGCGAAGTATGAACAGTTGGAACGACGTCCACAAAGTGGTTCAAATAAGGATGACTTGGTAAGAGTCGTGTTATATTTTAGTACTTGTTATTACATTTTTTATTATAGCACTTATTACTATATAATATATGATTTTGCAAGCCAGTGTATCGATTATTTGATTTAAAACATGGAAACTTTTTCAAACATATGCCACTCCATGAATGTATTTTTAAATGTGACTTATTATGTATGATACACTTTCATTAGGTGATCAAAGCATTACGCTTGTATGAGGATTTTTATGCAACTCCATTCAAATTTCTTCATTGTTGGGAAATATTGATCAAGAATCCAAAGTGGTGCTCACAGTTTCATACAAAGGCAGGTGCATCTAACAAACAAGGTTCAGATAATGGCATTTCACCAACATTGAATGAGTGCTCAAGTACTATGCCTGCAGATCTTATACCATCAAAAGAAACTGACCCCGGTGGAATTGTTCCACCACAAGGAAGGAAAAATTGTAAAGACAAAAAACGCAGGTCAAATGAAGAAAAAGGTGTGGTGGATGCCTTGAATAATTTGCAATCAACTTTAGAGAAACAAGTTGATGTTAATCGAGCAAACATGCAAATGAGGGAAAAAGTATTGATGAAAGAAATTGAATTAAAAGAAAAGGCTCAAAGGAGGCAGTACCAGAACCGCATTATGAACCAAGATTTGAGGAAGCTATCACCATCAGTTAGAGCTTGTTATGATGTTATGCAAGAAAAAATTTTGAAAGAATGGGAAAGTGATGGTCTTTTCTAATCTACAAAAGTAAGTGTTCATAGTATATAATTGTTTATTTGATCTTATTTTATTTTGTTACTTATATATATGATAATAAATTTAGAGTTTAAATTGATCTTTTTTATCATTTCACCATGTGCAGGTTGCATTTTAGAGGCATCAAGTTTGAAGGATTTGGCTTTGATTTTCTCACATGAAAACTATGATTAAGAACTTTTAGATTTATTGTCATTCTTTATTATTTTATGTGTTTTTGACTTTCTGTCTTACATTTAGTTTTGAACACATATTAATGTGTGTCGTACTTTAATTTTTTTGTTTAGAATGAATGTTTACTTTGCTTTTCAAGTGTAGGTTCACCTGGAATTAAAATTTGTGACATGTTTAGTTTATGAGTTAGTTTTTCACCATTGGAAGATATATTGTTGTATCATTTCAAGTGCTTAATTTTCACTGTGTTGATGTTGGGGTTTTACTATTTGGCAAACAGGGGCTTTATTTTCAAGTGGTGCTTAATTTGGAGCTAAACATAGTTTAGTGAGTTTAGAAGCCAATTGCAGCAGTCTTATTTATCGGGTTTGACGAATAGGGGTTAAGTTAATTGAGAAAAAAATAACAAGTCAGATTCGATCATCAATACTAAGCAACAAAAACACAAAATAATAAAAGAATAATAAACTACTTGTGTATAAAATCAAATAGATATACTGAGCACCATAAGGTCATCCCAACATACACAATTTGACCAATTGTTAAAAACATTCGAAAATATGTAAAAGTCACACTTATAATTTATTGCACTCAAGAAACAAACTACAAAAATCTGAATAAAATTCACAAACTCAAATGCATGCAATACTTGGGATACAGTATAACTTAAAAAAGATACTTCAATCTTCACTCTGACCACCATACAGTTCCCACAGGTGGTTGATAAGATCACGTTTTAGATCTATATGTACTCTTTTATCTTGAATTTTTTTCATTCTACCATTTATCCTAGACATAAGATAAGTAAAATCATGCTCTGGAGTAATATCTTCTACTGTTTCGTCGCTTTCTGGCCGCCAATTTTCTGGATTGATGCCTTCAGCAACCTCACTTTCAATAATCATATTGTGCAAAATGATACACGTCTTCATTATTTTTCCCAAATCAGTTGCACTCCACATGCGAGCGGGACCTTTTACTATATGCCAACGACTTTGTAACACTCCAAATGCGCGTTCCACATCCTTCCGAACAGATTCTTGACATTTTGCAAATAGCTTCTCCTTCATAGAAATGGGCTGTGATATAGTTTGGATTAACGTGGCATATTGTGGGTATATACCATCAGATAGATAATATCCCATATTGTACTGATGGCCTTGTATTTTAAAGTCGCATGGTGGTGCAGTATCATTAACAAGGTCATCAAAAAGAGGAGATCTATCAAGAACAGTAACATCATTATTAGTACCCGCCATACCAAAGAATGCATGCCAAATCCATAAATTATGTGAAGCTACGATCTCTAGAATAAGAGTTGGAACTTTTTTGAACCCACTAGTAAATGTTCCATGCCAAGCAGTCGGACAATTTTTCCAATGCCAATGCATACAATCTAGACTACCAAGCATTCCTGGAAATCCACGAGCTTCACTATCTTTTAACAGACTAGCGATATCAGACGTATTTGGTTTTCTAAGATACTGTTTTTCAAACAATCCTATTATAGCACCGCAAAATTTTTTAAGGCATTCAATTGCAGTACTCTCACCAATTTGAACATATTCATCAAGTGAATCAGCTGAACAGCCGTATGCAAGCATTCGTATTGCCGCTATAACTTTCTGTAAAGGACTCAACCCTATTTTTCCAGCGGCATCAACCTTTTGTGTAAAGTAATTATCATAATTCTCTACTGCATGCAAAATTCGCTCGAATAGCTTAATATCCATACGAAATCGACGACGAAACTTATCTGGAGTATACTTTGACTTCTCACCAATAAAGTAGTCACTTTTAATCAAATCATGGCGTTCTTTCCTATCACGATAAATGTATTGTCTACCAATAGTTGAGCCCCCATGTGCACGTTTTTTACCTGTTAAAAACGTTGACATCATAATTGGAACCTGAACCGTGGCAGTTTCAACCATGAATGAGTCAACATCTTCATCATCATCCCTAAAAACTGACTTGATAAGAGAAAGTGACCCTGTGCTTGAGGATGATTCAGCAGTGGAGCTGAATTCAGATTCTTCCGATGACATTAGCTGTGGCATTTTAACATAAATCTAAAATATAACTTCGATATAATGAATGTAAAAAAACGCAATTACTAATTTAAAAACTAGCAGGTTCCTACATTAATATATATGTTAAAATCAATTGAAATTCGCATGTGGTATTACTGAGAAACAATCAAGTGAATCAACCCAGTAACAAAATCAAATTATTAAAAAAAACATATGAATTTTTCTCATCAACCATCCGAATTGATAAATTCATGATCATCACTTTTTATCTATATTGTTTCTAGACAAACCAAAAGAAGAGTATACACACGATCAAAAGTATTGGGTTTGTGGTACAAGAAGCAGAAATCAAACAGGAGGAATTATTATATACCTAAACTTTGAAATTTCGTTCCTGTTTCGTGCCTTGGAGTGATATGGCCGGCTGCACATGATTTGGTTTATGGGTTTAGTAATATAGGTTTACGTAATCTAGGGATTTAGTTAGGTACGTGTTTTAATTTTCTTTTTTAAAAGGTAGTTAATTTAATCGGTCAACACCATGCATTGGAGACCCCTTTTTAATTTCTTTTAATGTGCATCTTATGTGGACAAACATTGCTTTAATTATTTGACATTTGGCAAAATTTACCTTCACTTCAAAGAACACCATTGGAGATGCTCTAAGAGTATTTTGACTCGTTCAATTAACTTCTCAACTTTAAAAATGTTTCAACCTTGAAATAAATTCAAAATAAAAATAGAATAAAAAAATAAAATAATAAAGAAAGAGTACAATTATATGGAGTAAGAATAAAAATAAAAAATATTTTCGGATTATTCAAAATATGAATAAAAAAAAAGATACAAAGATACTCTACATGATGTGTTTACATTAATATATATATTTTACTCTTAAGTTATTCTTGTACTATATATACCTTTCATATCATACGTTATACTTCGTATTTTTTATTTTCTTTTTACATTTATAATTATAACTGGTCTGTATATATTATATATGTCATTTAATATGTTATATTATACTCCGTATTAAATAATTTGGGTATAAAAACCTGATCAAAGTAGGATGAAATATAGACAAAAATCTAAAATAGGACTAAATATATATTATTTCCAAAATAGGACCTATTTAATCTTAAATTCCTACAAATATACGAATATAAAGATTTGCCTGAGTATAATTGCATGAGGTCTATTTTTGGGAAGAAAAAAATGAGGACACGCTTATTTGAGAAATTTTGCTACATTTTATTCCTTTTTAGGGAATTCTTTTTAGGCCAGGGTTTTAGTTATGTTTTTGCATTAATGTATTATGTTTTAATAAATTTTTAATTTCTATTCTACTTTTTATTTTGTATTACATACATTTTTATTTCATATTTAAAATAAAATACTAATGTAAACATATATGTATATATATAATACTACCTCCGTCCCTCTAAGTTTGGGACAAGAGAAGGTGACACGGTTATTAATAAAAGTGAGTTTATGTGGTTGATATTGAATTGATAAAGTAAGAATAAAGTAGAAATGATTTAGAACCACACAAACTTTACCAAATAAGGTATGGGACAATCTTAGTGGGACGGACCGAAAAGGTAAAATGTGACAATCATAGTAGGACGGAGGGAGTATAAAATATGAATATCAAGTTTAAAATTATATTTATATTCTTATTATTCATATATTTATATTCTAATATTTATATACTTTATTTTTATACTAAATTTTTATTTTTGTATATTTATTTTCACTTGTTACAATTTTGACAATTTTGAGTAGCTCAGGGGCAAAGTAAAACAACTATGACGGGTATGGGACTTATTTGAATATTACATGTTCATGTCACCGATTTACCTGGTGAAGTGACAGGTAACCAGAAGTTCACCCATAAATCTGGAATTTGCATCTTTTTTTTGTCAGTTCATAGTGTGAATTCGACTTTTTTTAGGTTAATTAGAGCGAGTTGAGCAAACTCAACAAGTACAAAGGCCGATTTGACCATTTAGCCCAAAAAAGTTTTTCAACCCTTTTCTATTGTTTTTACTCCCAGATATTCTAATTTATGATAATATCGCAAAAACATTTAAAAAAAGTTTTAAAAAAATAAAAAAAAATGAAATTTAAAAAATTAAAAGTATAAAAACTTAAAAATAAACACAAATACATAAAATAAATAAAAATATAAAAATATGGAGTTCTTTCCATGCGCCTTTTCCATCTCCCGGCACTACAAAGAACACTAGATTTGTCACGGAGTTTGTTCGGCACGACAGTGTAAAAAATCCCTAACCTCTGACGCCAGCGGCCTGACAAAAACTTGGTTCGCGATAAAAATCCGTGACAAATGTGAGGTTAATGTGTCGTTCGTAGATGACGTCAGCGCGCAAAATCAGAAGTTACATGTTTGATAAAAATAAAATGAATTCATTTTATTTTTTATTAAAATTGAAAAAATTAAAAAAAAAACGTTTTTTATTTTTTAACATCGAAATGGGTATTTTTTTATTTCATAATTATTTAGAAAAAATAACATTACTTATAATAATCTAATTAATGTTTTAATAAACAGATGGTATGTAAAAAAATGTTCAGTATTTTATTGATAATGTAGGAATGCAGGAAAAAATGATATTGGCTGAGTCTACATACACTATTATAATCTCATATCGACAGGGTTCATATTTAACTTTTGAAGTTTTTCCTAAAATATTTCTAACAATAAATCTATGGACAAATTGTGACAGGAAGTTGCTATGTGTAACTTTTATATATAGTCAATATGATGATACATTGAAATATAGTTACGGTCACTAAAAATATCAGAGTCACATTTTTATCAATTGCTTTTATTTTGTCATATATTTAATGTTATTTCATACGGAGTAATTTTTAGATAGTAGAGTGATGGGGTAGTAGTATTAGTTTTTGTTCCTTTATATAGAGATCTCTATAAATCACTCGTTATAGTTGTGCATGGCCTTCTTGTCTAGTCATTATGCAATGATTCATGGACAGGACGAAACATAACACCACACAAGTTGGAATAGTAATTCGATCTAGTCATATGTGCTACTAATATACCGTGGTCCTGATTCGGCTTTCTATGTGCTCGCCAAAATCCA